CCTGATAATTTTTTTAAGATAAAGATTTTATAGTTTTCCACCGTCAGTAGTCATTTTTCTTTGTGCCATGTCCTTTCAGGACGTGGGCAATCATAGCTCCCCCCCCTCCTGCTATTCCTTCCCACTGCTACCTCTTCCATTCCACGTTCTGTCAACCACTTGCTTAAGCCAGTCTGTCGTGCGTTGTTTTCCCTTGTCTCTCTTTCCCTCTATTCGGCCCGTGGGTATCAAATTCTCCAGACCCTCCTTCTTCATTATGTGTCCCAGAAACTTCAGCTGCTTCTTTCTGATGTTAAGTATAAGCCTCCTCCTTGTTTGCATCCTGTCTAAGACCTACTTGATCAATAAATGCTTCCGCGCGATGAAAAAACTATTACAATTTATTATGTATAACGAGAACATAAAGAATAAGATCGCCACATGGTCATTCTCCTTTCTCCCAATACTACACTAGACAACAACATGACTTAACCGCAGCCGCGAATGCTATTCTGCAGCCACCCAGACAAACCTTTCATCAGATATTGAACTTCATAAGGCATTTCATAAGTCACTTTTATTTTACTTAACTGGTTGCAGTTTCGGCAAGGCCAAACGCTTCATAAATTTGGAATATTTACACATGACATGTTGTATGTTGCGTGCTCAAGAGTAAGAAATTCCCAAGAATTTATTATTCGCTATTAAAAAGGAAAAACAAAAAAAAAGAAATTTCCTTAAAAATATCGTTTACCATGAAGTCCTATTAAATCAAATTCAAGAAATTATTAAACCGCGAAACAGGGAAACCGCGAAACAAATTAGCTTATTAAAATTTCATTGATTGCTTTTCGAAATTGAATGATACTCGACAAAAATGTTAGCGATACATTCAACAATACTAAATACTGTGAGCATTTCAACACACGTCAAATAGAAACATGGGCTGCTCAAGAATATCCTGCCACATACTACTATTCAATGTTCCTTCGATTATATGTGTTTATTTTCTATATATTAAAATTTATGCTTTTACAATTTACACTTTCATCCCAAAACACTTTGTACTTTACCATTAAAAATTAAATTAAGTTTAATTAAAAAGATTAAGAATATTACATGACAAAACTTTTACCATGATACTTAGAAATCGCCAACTAAAAACGAATTCCTTGTAAAATATCACCATGAAAAATGCAAATATAAGCATATATGTGTGTGTGTTTGTTCGCGCACGCGCGTGTGTCTGAATGCGCGTGTATGTATTTCGATGAACAAGACTGATGAAATTACTTCTTATTATGTTTCTCTTATATACGTAATGAATACAAAAACTGCCCAGGAGTTTGTTGGTTCCGAGCGCTTTCGATTAAACTGTTAGGCCATTTTCAAGGTATATTTCGTGTTATACTACTATAATAAATGGTGTATAAGAGCTACAGTAGACAGTATAAATGTTGCTGAAAGTGGATATATTCGTAATTTTTTCTAAATAAGGGCTTCCACCACTTTTTAACGCGTTTTGCGGAGGCAGGTACGTATGACATTCGTGTTCAAGATGGCTGTGTTGTGTACAGATGTTTTTTTAAGATTCAATGCTGTGTAAAACACCCAATATAGTTGTAGGCATGAAAATGAAAATAAAACACCGAAAATAAATATATATATATATATATATATATATATATATATATATATATATATATATATATATATATGTATATCCAAGTATAGGATTGGTGTATACGGAATAAATTACAATAACAAAAAAAAAAAAAAAAAATACTATTCTTAAAAGAGCGCTCTATACAGAGAAGAGCAAATATAATTTAGTCGAAAATTATGATATAAACATGTTATAAAATCACTACAAAGATAGCCATTTATTACAACAATTCTGGTGTTTTATGAAGTGTTGGTGTTGAATGTAGAATAATCTAGGTTATTCTACATTCAACAACATCACTTGATAAGACACCAGAATTGTTGAAACAAAATGGCTATTTTTGTAGTGATTTTATAACATGTTTATGCTATAATTTTTTTTAATAAATAATGTGCATATATATATTCTTTAGTCTGTTTTTTTTTATTTGTGCCACCTAGTATATATATATATATATATACGTTAATTCCGTACCAACTACAATATATATATATATATATATATGTGTGTGTGTGTGATCGTGGCCTGTTTTTTAGCTTACTTGTATTATTCAGACAGTTGATCTTTCATCCTGAAAATGTTACTAAGCTTTTACACAGCATAGTTGCAGTATAAACTAATATACTACTCCAAGAAAATAATAAACAAAAACTTTAAGTTCTCGTGCTCCTCTATATCAAAATCAACCAAGCAGCACCCAACAAAATTTATTACGAATATAGCAAAAACATTTCAAGATGCATATAACATCTAATGCCAATTTTTACTAATTTCTGGTCAGCATCTTTATATTGAAACGCTTGTTTCATAAAACATTATTAATGACAACGCTTAAGTCTAAAGATTCTAAACTAGCTGTAACAGAGCCTGTTGGCGCTTTCATAAAACCACTATCGTAACAGAATGAATATATTATCACAGTTACAATAAATTTCTCTTTGCAGCGCTGAAAATAATTATAAAAAGAAGATCGAAAGTACTTCGGTTAATAATGAACTACGGCGCCTTCTTCAGTAGAAAAATAAGTAGACATGTATTATTCATGCAAGATATGATCCTATATATATATATATATATATATATATATATATAGTTGGATTGAGATGAGTTTGTGATTCTGGGTTTCACACTCTCTGTGATCGTCAGACAAACTGATTAATTTTTAAAATTTGGATTTATTTATAGTTGCGTATATCTGTTTTTAATGGTAGATGGAGTAAACATTGTCGTCGGAACGGCACTCCTACGTACGCAGACATATATACACGCTTCTGACGATCGCAAATAGCGTTAACCCAGGATCACATACTCACACCAATCCAACTAAATATGTTATCACTGATATCGAGTGCTTTCCAATAAGTACCGCGCACATATAATATATAAATAGTATATATAAAAAACTGCATATATATATATATATATATATATATATATATATATATATATATATATATATATATATATATATATATATATACCAAGGTATGAGAAAAAGAAAGAGGTTGTATTTTGATTTTAAATCTAAATAAATCGTTGACTCACCAGTAAGTTGCAATCACCTGATGAGATTTATTGATGCTCATCGAAACACGATAGCAAATGTGTAGCGATTTTGACATGTTTTCGTTGTTATATCCTAAAATAAATATCTATATGTTTGTGTACTTATGTGTGTGTGTATTTACTGTAGATTTAATTTCGCGCAAAAAGAACACACACACACACACACACACACACACACACACACACACATATATATATATATATATATATATATATATATATATATAATGGACTCTCTCGTCGATTTCGACGAATGTGAATTCGAAAACATCATTCTGTATTTATGTTTGTTTCGTATGTGACACTTCCGTCCCGCTAGTGGTCTGCATACAAGTCTACATGTTGTGCAATAGCGAGAAACTCGAGACATAGCAAGAAGAACATTTGCTGACGCCTTTCGCAGTTGTCTTTCGTCTCTAAGCCGATCAATACGACTGATTTCAAACTTTCTGATACGACTTATATATTTACAGTTATTTTTATACTTGCAATATGCGAAGTTGCAACTGCATCAGGAAAATCTCAATTTGACCAATGTTTTATTTTGCCTGAAGATCAGCATTGGACACACTATCGTCAAAAGTATAGCCACGCACACACACACACGCACACACACACACACGCACACGCACACACCATATATATGTATATATGTATATAAATATCTTCGCTTTTCTGTGCTTTTATTTTCGAGTCACTGTTGACATTTTACGTTTTCTTCCTCATTATTCTAAAATTTATGTCCATTTTTTTCGCTGTAATAAAAATTTAAACTACTAAGATTTTATGTTCTTTTTCATAAGGAAACCCATATTTTTTTTCAGGTTTCTTGTAATTCTGATATTAATTGAAATATTTATTCTGAATTTCATGTTTTTATTTGAATGCTTATTACGAGCAATCTGTTATCATCTTTTTCGGAATGTGCTAAATGCAGGCCAGTATTTCAACAGTCTGGATAATCATCTTAACAACGCCATTATAATCATAATCAACGCCATTATTTACCGGTTGTAATCAATTTCGCAACGTGTATTTAAAATGTAACCTTATTCATGTAACGATGAGCTTGAATGCTTTTCTACAAAAGAAGTCATGTAGAATATGGCAGAATTCTCACGAATCACGATGTCCTGAGTATGATAATTAACTTTACCCGACAGCAAGGCCTATGATCGGGAGATTGGAGGTTTTGAGGAGCTTGCAACAACTTCTTAATTGCTTCCACGTCCACTCTGACCCGAGGGTGTAGCACCAGTTAGGGTTCAAACTATGAGCAAACATTTAACCCCACTATCCCGGGGTCAAACACCGTGAATGTATAAAAATACATTTTTATAGGAAAAATACAGTATTACATTTTCATAGTAACAAAAATACCAACGGTGCAATACCAGAAAAATAAATACCAGTAATTCATATTTGCAAAGGATATTACTAATACCCCCAAGAAAATTAATGACCCATAAGGAGTTGATATGCCGCTAAAGAAAGAAAGAAAAAGGCACCATAAAGTGCACCTTGAGAATCGGACCTGAAATAATCAATGACGATCAACGAAAAACATTTTGCCTCTAACATTAACATGTCTTCTTTAAACAAATTCTCCTTCACAGCGTTCAGAATGTTTCCGCCACCATCTCAAAATCGTCGTCTTTAGGCCTCGACATATCCCCCCCTACTTAAGCAGCCATTTCTAAGCGGTTGTCTTCTGTTTCCTCTCCTGTCACGTATCCCTTTCTAAGACGTTATTCGTGCCGCAGGCCTTAGCAAAACTTCGTGTGGCGCAATGCATTGGCGCCAATACATGACATCAAATGGTCGTTGCCCCTCTTCCATAACACACGTGGTATGTTGGAATTACTCGTTTAAAATCCGCTTCGGCACCTGAGTAGAAAATCGAAAGGGGTTGTGAGTTTAAGAAAAACTTTTTTGCAGTGAAAATGTTTAGAAATAATCGATTGTGAGTGCTTATATGACGAGTGCATTTGATGTAAAAAAAACGATACCACAGACACATTGACATAGTACGCAGTATGTTTGTATTGATATATATATATATATATATATATATATATATATATATATATGTGTGTGTGTGTGTGTGTGTGGAGATACATAGATACATAGATACATAGACAGAGAGATAGACAGACATATGCATATGTGTATATTGGACTAAAGGTACTAGAGTCAGCAATGCTACTTTTAAGCATGTATGTTATTTAGTATGATATTCCCAGTATCGAATAAACCTTTATATATATTTATATATATATATATATATATATATATATATATATATATATATATATATATATATATATATATAGCTAGATAGATAGATATAGATATATTTATATGTATATTTGAACAAAGAGTTGGTACAAAATATTTATATATATATATATATATATATATATATATATATATATATATATATAGCTAGATAGATAGATATAGATATATTTATATGTATATTTGAACAAAGACTTGGTTATATATATATATATATATATATATATATATATATATATATATATATATATATATATATATATATAGCTAAATAGATAGATATAGATATATTTATATGTATATTTGAACAAAGACTTGGTACAAAATATTTTATATATATATATATATATATATATATATAGCTAGATAGATAGATATAGATATATTTATATGTATATTTGAACAAAGTCTTGGTACAAAATATTTATATATATATATATATATATATATATATATATATATATATATATAGGTACCTCAAAAAACAGAAAATAAACGATATCAAAATTTTAAAAGGAATATTTTAAAAAATTAAAAGTCTTTCTTGAAGCTATTATTTTATTTTTACTTTCAAGCTAATAGATAAATTTAATATTACCAATAACCAAAACCCTTTGGTGCATTTCAAAATTTATTTAAAACTTATTAAAATTGTCTGGATTTTTTTTTTTTTTTTTTTTTTGCTTTTTTAGTTGTCTTTCATCGAAATGTAATTATCGTCATTAAAAATCCTACCAAAACTAAAATTGATTTTAATTGAATCATTATTTAAGAAGTATTAATTGATTTAAAATATAACTAATTTGATTTGAAACAAATATTATATACTTTAAGTTAAAAATATTTTGCTAATCGACTGTAGCTAGATTGTTCCTACGGAGACTTATCTGAAAAATATAATTGATGTGGGCGCTTTTATTTAATTTTTCTATACTCAGTAATTGTCAAATTTTAGGAAAATATTCTTCAATGTTTTATTGCTCTTCTTTTCTGATAATGTTGTGTATGGTTTACCGTACTTACAAAAAATCGGCACGTTTATAAACAAATACAAAAATTGAAAATGCTGTTTAAAATTTTAATATTTGATGATTTGTATTAAGCTTTTTCATTTATGATTAGTAAATATAGTTTCCACTTGATGATAATAACACCAAAATCACTGAAATTAATACAGAATTGTAAAAGATTTCAAACTTAACAAATGTTTCTAATTAAATTTTTTTTAAAATGAATAAAAAATTAAATACTGTCATAGTTTTACTGCACTTTTTATTTTAGGAGTTAGAACAGATTTTCGGAAAATGGTGTTTCTGTTTGCCAAAAGCAAATTGATGATTTAAATTCTCCAAGGATTGCTGCCTTTAATTAACATAAATACGAAGGTCCTGAAATTTCATAAAATTACGTAAGTTGGGGTAAAAGATGTAAAAAATATATTTTTACAAGATTTTCTAAAGAAAAATATTTTTAAAATAAGTGCATTCTTTTGGGAATAAGTCGTGAAAATTTCATTAAAATCCGACCATTATTTCATCTTTACAAGAATTTCCAAAACCTTGTACTTTTTACCGCTAAAAAGATGCTGGATTTGACATAATTATCTTTGTCCCACCACTGACGCAAGAAAAAAAAATTAACCAAAATTTCGAATGTGCTACAAAGAATTAAAACATTTAATAAAAATACTTTGGTTTCTCCTCTTAATAATAACATTTTCATCTTTTTCATCATGCTCTGTTGTATTTTTCAGAAGATTTTTTGAAGGTACCTAATATATATATATATATATATATATATATATATATATATATATATATATATATAATCGACTCTCCCGTCGAGATTCGACGTATGAGGGTCAAGCAGATCAGTTTTCAGGAAACCGACAGCCCGACACCAGCACATGAGATTTGATTATAGTGGTGAAGGCCTCGTGCAGGACCATCCACACTTTTTGAAGGGATGAATACAGAGACCTGGTGCATCGAATGCCACAAGGTTCCCAAACGACCCTCCGCAGGTTTTGAATTCAGAGTTGTCCTTCTCCTAGACCAGTTGCCATCCAAGGCTATAGAACCCAGTCTGTCCTGCTATTTCACCCATAGCTCGAATATATATATATATATATATATATATATATATATATATATATATATATATATATATATATAGTTTATGAAAAACTAGGTAATCCGTATGGGTAAACCCAAGGAGGATAAAATCCAGAGAGCTCAATGTAAATCTCGAGCAAATAATAATTTAAATAAAAACAGACCACTTTAAGGTTCCATGTAATAAATTATTTCCCCACAGCCCTTTTAAAGGACTGCGGATCATCAGACTTTACTTCCAAATGTTGAACCAAAAAAAAAAAAATTTTTTTTTTTTATTTTTAGTGGTTCATGAAGTGGCTATTCGTTTGTTTTACATTAACCACATACACACTTACGCTAACTTTTCTCTCTTTTAGTAATGTATTGGGAGTTATGTTAGAATAATTGTTCCCGGCTTCGATTGAGGAATCAGAGAGCAGATTTCGAATTTCGGTTGATTTCATCATATTCACTTCTGTGATTATAATCTTGGGAAAAGTTATGATTCCATCTCTTTTCCTCCCAGCTATAGTTAAAATAGCAGAGCTGTCTGTGATCTATAATTTTTGGTCACTACCAATCTAAAAGGAAAAATATCTGTTGTCTTTTAGGCCCTTCCTCTTTAGCCACTTCAAAAACAAATCCATCTTTGAGAGGAAGTGCAGGGTAACCTTAACATCCTCAGTGCAAAATGATCCGGCAAGTCATTTCACTATTGTTTTTTTCTTGGTGAGTAATAGTGACTACAACTGCGAAAAATGCGATGAATAAAATGATGATAAATATACATATATATAATATACAATTATCTTGCAAAACATCCACATTTAACTTAACCATTTCATACTGATCTTCAACTCATTAATATTGTTTCTTTTTTGGTTATTTATCTATTATTTTATCAGAAAATTACAACGAATATTATCATAATTTTCTTCTATGTGCCGTGTCCCTTCAGGACGTGATAGATCATGGATCGCCACAATTTCCTATTGTTTGTAGCACTTAGCTAGGTTTCACTTTTTTAATATTCTTCACATTCCCTTATGTGACTTCCACTTACATACATTTGTTGAATAAGTTATTAATTGTTTCTCTTTGTTCTACTTGTCTTCGTTATGTCATGTGAGTGTCATATTCTGACAACCTTCTTTCCACATTATATACAGAAATATAAACGGTCTCTTGTGTCCTTTTTGTGTCAATTTGCCACAAAAATTCCTAGTTCCTCATAAGCGCTATCCATGATATTCTTAACATTTTCTTTGCCTTTATTTGTTTGCGAATTGTACATTCTTCAAGCCCCCACCCATTCCTTATGTTTCCAAGAAATTTTAACTAATTCTCTGATTAAATGCCAGCGTCGTGTGTATGCCAATTTTTCTTCAAAGTTCTTGTTATTCACAAGTCTTGCCTGTAGTATTCTCAAAATGCTTGTGTAGAATCACATCTTTGTTGCTTGTGACGAAATTGTACCCCATTCACTGCCGTATATTATTATTCGGTTACGCTAGCTCGGATATTCATGAGTCGATCATCCCAACCATCACGAAGCCGTATGAAAGTCGAAAGGGCCTAAGGGTGGCATTCTGTGTCATAACATAGCTGGTCAGTCTATGTGGTTGCTGGGCGTTCAACCCGTCTTGCTAGGTGTCCAGAACAGTTGATAACTCGCGAATTCTTGTTTTACTCCCCAGGAGTGTTCTTCAAAGCGCCTTCTGCGTTCACGTAAGATTGTAGAAATATCAGGGGTGGGTCCACAGTGCTGTGATTTAGTTGGATGTTGTCGCCAAGAGATGTTAAGTTTAGCTCTCAGCACCGAAGTGTAGGTTCCATCAAGCTTAGACTCTAGGTTTTGTTAATTACCAGGCAGTGGCCCCATACATCAACACCACCTCTACAGCTTGAGGTTGTATAGTAGATAAGATTTCCAGATTACAGACATTTTCACATCCTTTTCAGAAGAAATTATTTCGCTTCCTAGGTATGAAAAAGATTCGACAAATCTTATTGATTTACCCGAGACAGTAGGAATATTGCATAGAATTTTAGAACTTTATTTCTAACGAAATCTTCTCATTTCTTAATGCTTCGGAATTCGGTGCCACATTTTCCGTCGACTGTTATAACACTCCCCCCCGATATGTCCTGGTTCTGCCAACTATTCACATAAATTCGTTAAGTAGTTTAGTTGCTGCTTCACCCTGCATCTCTTTTTTCTAATATTATTCACACCAAGTCATACAGTAAAGTCTCTAAGACTCACGGAGTTACTGTGTGTAAAACTTAGAAAGTAGAAACATTATTAAAAAGCTAGAACAATAGCAGAGTAACCAGGAAGATAATAGATAACGATTTACATTGCATTTACATTTTTGAAGATGAAGGTTGTCCAGAAAGCATAGAACCAGAAGAAAGTTCCACCATCGAGATGTACGATAAAAGAAACTTTTAG